AATCATAGTTACAATAACTTTTATTACTATTTTCAATCTTACCAAAATCAATCTCACTGCCTATTCAAATAGACCCTAAGCCTTGGGTAATCAAGATTTTGAACTCATACATGAATTTAGTAAAAGCAAAGCTTTCAATCTTGCTATTTTTAAAATCAAAATTTTTTTATCTTTCTTAAACTTTTTATACCATTACCTAAGCACTTGTTTAATGCCATAAAGAGATTTGTTGAGTTTACGTATCTTGCGTTCTTAACCTTCAACCACATAACCTTTTGGTTGTTGGATGTAGATTTTCTCATCTAGTTATTCGTTAAGGAAGGTTGTCTTTACATCCATTTGATGTACTTCAATGTTATAAATTGAAACTATAGTAAACATTATTCTTATAGAAGTAAACTTAATGATCCAAGAAAAGGTTTCAAAGTAATTTAACATTTCTTTTTTATTATAACCTTTGGCTACCAATCTTACGTTATAATTATCAATAGTACCATTAGTTTTGAGTTTCTTTTTCAAAATCCACTTAGAGCCAATAGGTTTAATGTTAGGAGGTAGATATACTAAAGACCAAGTATTATTCTCAATTATGGATTTAATTTCATCATCCATAGCTTTTTTTCCATAATATGGAATTATGCATGATCATTGTTTCTTAAAAAGTTTTAGGATCCTCTCTAGCATGTAATTATACATGTCAAGTCCTATATTCTTTTTAATTCTCTTTCTTTTGCTTTTTCTTAATTCAGCATCAATTGATGCGTTAAATGCATTATCATTAGATGCATTAACATCAAAGTCATAATCATTCAAAGATGCATCATCATGTTCTGGCTCTATCATATTATTTGACTATTTATTTTCTAACTCATGATTACTAGCATCCTGAATATTCAAATGCTCAAAATAGATAGCATGAATAGATTTAAAAACATTATTACTATTTAAGCTAAGAAACCTATGTGCTTTACTATTCAAAACATAACCAAGAAATATAAACTTAATAGCTTTACTTTTAACTTTGACTCTTTTACTTATAGCATCTAAAACATATGCAATGCTACCAGACACCTTAAAATAATCAATATTAGGTATTCTACCTTTAAGCAATTCATAAAGTGATTTATCACAACCTTTATACAAAATTCTATTTGTAATATGACATACTATATATAAAGTTTCACCCTAAAACTTAAAGGTAAATAAGCATGCAATATCATAACACTTATCATTTCTAGCAAAGGTTTATTCTTTCATTTTGCTATTTCATTTTGTAGTGGTGTGTTGGGTGCATAAATCTGTTTAACAATGCCATGTAAGTTACAAAATGCAATAAACTCATTTAACAAGAATTATCCACCTCTATTCTATCTTAGTCTTTTAATCTTTTTACTAGTTAAATTTTTAATTTCCTTTTTAAAAATCTTAAAATTTTTAAAAGCCTCATTTTTTTGTTTTTAATAAATAGACATAAGGAAACTTTGAAAAATCATCTATGAAAGTAATAAAATACCTTTTACCTCTCTAGTTAAAACATCATTGTTTTCACACAAATTAGTATATACTAATCTAATAAAGAATTTGTTTTAAAAACTTTTTTGAAAAATGATTTAGTAATTTTTGCTTGAGCACAACATTCACATGTTTTTTGTATTAAAAAAGGAAAAAGATGATTTAGGAATCAAAGCATGTAAAGACATTCTTGCCAATGTATTTATGTCTTAGTTTATAATAACACAAATAATTAGAATCATTACATCAACAACATAGGCACAATTAAAAGCATCTTTATTGATATTAAAAACACACACACACATATATATATACATATATATAGTTTTTAACATATCCATTCCCTAAAAAAGATCCATATTAGAAATGATCACTTTTTAAGAGTCAAATACAACTTTGAAACCATGGTCATCAATTTTTTTTTTACAGAAATTAAACTTTTTCTAAGATTGGGGATGTAATATACATCTTATAAAGTTAAGACCTTACCAGTTAGAAGAGAAATTTTCATGGTTTTTTTGCCAACAACTTTATAAGTGAAGGAATTACTCACGAAAACTATTTTGTCACTACTCATTTCTTCATATGTCTTGAAAATACCTTTAAAGTGAGTGACATGACATTTTGTACCGAAGTTAAGCTACCAATCTTCTTGGTTTTCAACTTTGAGAATTTTGGTGATCATGGCAATCATGTCATTTTCAGCCACTATGTTGGCTTCATTTTACTTGTCATTACAAAAAATGATACTCTTACAAAGTGCCCATCCTTTTTACATACAAAGTAAGGACTTTTTTTTCTTAAAGTCTTTTCTAGCTTTGTTGAACTTTTCTTTTTTCGTAAAAAAATTTTTCTGCTTCTTGTTTTTCTTGTCTTTGAGAGTAGATGAACTAGGACATTTAATGTTGTGAACATTGTTGTCCTTATTAGAAACTTCATTTTTCATTTGGGTTGCATTTTCAATTTGGATATATTGAACTAATTCATATAATTAAATGACTTCTTTTTATGTTTCAAATCCCTTTGATAATATTTCCAAGATGGAGGCAACTTACTAATGATGGTTAACACCTGAAAAGTTTCAAAAATTGGTTTTTCAACTTCATTGAACTCAGTTGTAATATCATATAATTCATTTACTTGATTAATGATAGGTTTAATATTTATCATTTTATAATCAACATACATGTTTATTAGGAATGACCTGTTTGTAGCATTTTTTTCTCATACCTCATTTATATGGCAATTCAAAGTTTTCAAGTAGTATTATACTTGCGAAACACATTAAAGAGTGAGTTGCTAAGTGCTTAAAGGATTGTCAATCGGTAAATATAGTTATTTTAAATCCATTTTTGTTATCTTGCTAAAAGTTGATCATTTTCATTTGTTTTTATGGATAGTACTTATGAAGGACATGTCACTTTCAACAAACTAACTTGGTAATATAGCTTTATTCTTCAACCCTTGTAATTTAGTCAATTGAGCCTTTCAAGTTTCTCAACTTCATAAACATGTAGTTTGATTGTAGATGTTGTTAATGATGAGGTTTATTATCCTTAAATTATTGTATTTGGGTGTAGTTATGGCAATAAAAACCATAAAAAAAAATTAAGAATAAAGAATAAAATTGTAGGTAAGACACTTCCAAAATTTTTTCTTAAAGATAATAGTCTTTTCCATTACATTGCAAATGGACTCTTGAAGACATTATCCTCATAATACAATGCCTACTATGAAGAAAAAAGAGATTGCACATTTATATCTTCTTGAACTCATTTGAACCAAAAATACAAAGAAGAAGGCAAGAAAGAAAAACTTATTTTAATCTTTGTAAACATGTTGTCATTAAAAATATGTTTAAAGAAGTATTTATAGACCTTAAAAAGGTGCCTTAAACTACTTTTTACATAAAGACATCATTTAAACGAATTAATACAACTTTTGAAATGAAAGAACACTTTCAACGAACTTATTTTTTTAGTTTTTAGGTGTGGATATTCGAAAGGTATTTGAATGCTTTTTTTTTTTTACTTTCAATTATTTTCATCCAAAAAGTGGGTATTCAAATCCTAACTTAGGGTATTTGAAGGTCTGTTTACCTAAATATGAGTATTTGAATGCCTAACTTATGGTATTCTAATGCTCTCTCTCAGACTTTCAATTCTTGAATCCAGAATGTGGGTATTCGAATGCCCAACTTAGGGCAATCAAATGTCTTCTTTCTTACTTTCAAATTTTATCATTTTGGAATAAAATAATCGAATGTCCCTTTACCATTTCATTTCAAAGATTATTTATACTTTTTAAATGCAATTTTATCATAAATGCATTCTTCACGATTTAGAAAACCAACCTATTAACTTAGAAAACATTATTCTTTAGTAATATATATAACATATACATATATATATAAGGAAGGATCAACTTATGCATTGTAAAACTTTTTTACTTTTACGTATCTTTTAACCATTAATTTTAATAGATCTAATAGATGTGATTAAATCATTTTTTGTTTTTTTACTTATCTCTCTCATCTCTTGGATCTATTAAAATCAAGACTTGTATAATCTTCAGCATAAACTTTCTATCTTGATGATGATCTCTCACTTGTATTTTTTATTGTATCTTTCCTTTTCAAGCCTTAATTAAACTTAAAATGAAGCTTCAAAAAATAAAAAAATAATTTTATGTCAAGCTACAAATGCCATTTTTCTTAAAGTTGATTTTGTCCTTTTCAGTTATGATATACAAAAAAGATATAACTAAAATGCCTTCAAGATACAATAAATCTTTGTTCGATGTTACCTTGCACTTGTAACATTAAACCACTAAATATCTCTAAATGAGAATGAAAATATTAAACTTTGAACATTAATTTCTTCAGAAATAATATCAAAATAACTTTATTTTATTTTTTAAATAATAAGAGAAAGAAAATAGAGTTTCTAACTTATTTAATCTATTGAATTCATTGAACCATCTCAAATGACTACTCATAATCTTTATTTATAGGATTTAAATCCTAAGGTTGTGACCTTTTTATTATGTTATTTCAATCAAAGATCATTTTCTTAATAAAAAAATATACCTTTATGAATCATTAAGACATTTGAATAGTTAATTTTTTTTCATATTTTTCAAAATTTTGGAATATTCAAAGCATATTCCATTATAAATTATATTCATATTTAAACGAAGCAAAATTTGCTTTTATTATAAAAATTATCTTGAAACCAATCCTTATAACATACTATAAATTATAAATTTATATTTATTTAATTTTGATTTCAATATGAAGGAATCCCATATTTGTCACATTTCTTTTTTTACATAATTGAAATGCTTTTAAAAATTTCTTAGACTTTACTTACCATACCTTACATATAACTTAGATATTGTAATTTGCTTTCCAAAATGCTTTCTATCAATGACAATATATTCTTTTTAGTTAAGTAGTCATGCTAGCTGATTATCTAACATTTAAAATAAGGTAGTCAATTGATTAGTATAAAGCTATCAAATCTTTTTCAAACAGAAAGCCAACATCCTTCTTAAAAGCAATGGGCAATAAACTCATTTATATGGTTAATCGACTACTCTTTACAAAAACTTGTAACACATTAAAACTTTTTATTATCGGTGCACTATTTTTCATTTAAAAAGTTTCTATAGTCATTTTAATGTCTTTATTTCCATAAACCATGGACCCTTATGGCATTAAAATTTTTTCTTTGAATAAGACTAACTTAACTTCCATTTTATGAATAATAGACTATAATAGTTTTTATTCTTTTAATGTTTCTAGTCTTCTTATTTAAAAATTACACATAAACATTTCAAGAATTACCTTTCATTTGAAAATCTAATAATGATGGACATACATGAATTATGATAAAAACAGTGAATTTAAGAAAATCCATAACCATTTATAGTTGTTACCACATCTTATAAATAAAAGTAACAACAAATAATATGATCATAAAATCATGCATAAAAACAAAAAAAATAGATAGAACTTATATGATTTTTGGTGAGAACCGTTCTTTTTTTCTTGCTTAACATACCTTCATATGTGAACCATTTCTTCTCCTTACAAATGGCTTCATTAATCTTTTTTCAATTTTTGCAATACTAAAACCATATTTTAGTACTTTTGAACCTTTCCATCTTAAGTTTGTATAAATGAATATAACCCTTAAAATTGTTAGAAAATTCTAAGACTTGTATAATCTTTATCACGAATTTTATATCTTAATGATGATATTCCACTTGTATCTTTAGTTGTAGTCTTCCCTTCCACATCTGATTGGACTTAATCTTTCCGGAATTCTTTATACCAACACTGGGAACTCTTATTTCCTCAATTCGTTCATTTAGGATCACTGATATGATTCTTAGAAGAAAAGCCCGCTCTGGTGGGAAAAGATCATCCCCTGAATCAGTATTTCCACAATTCTCAAAGGAACTGTCTTCACATAATTTAAAGAAGAGTGGAGGGAAGTGAATATCTTCCAAACAAAATCTTGAGAGAAGTAACTTAAACCAATCTTCTCCAAAGCCAACCGGTATGACAACAACAGAAAAAAAAAACTCAAAGAAAAAGAAGGATTTAGAGTTAGCTATTGGAAGATCTAAATCTATTGAAAACAAAGTAAGTTGGGAATAGAATAATGAAAACTCAGATCAAAGGCTAATCATCTGTACCTGAAACAATAGTCCATATTATACATAGGCAAGCCAGAATCTCTACATAGCTCAGCAGCCAAAATCATACACAAAGGATCACTAGTCTCCAGACTACGAACTCTTGCAAGCAAGGAAAACTCATTCGGAAAGAACTTAAGCCAAATAGCCTGCTGATGTTTTTCTCCAGCCAATGAAACATTTGCCAAAACTTGCAAACCAATACGAATAACCCTAAATTCTGGAGTAGAAATAACTACTGCAGACCTTGAAACAAAAAGAACTTCAATTCCATTTTGCTCCAAAAATGCATTCTGATTGGCAACTTCTCCAGCACATAAGGAAGATGAATTTGATGCGCTAAGTAAAGGCCGCAAAACATCTTCTGGTCCATTGAAATCTGGTAATGATTCTCCATCCATTTCTGGACCAATGGAAAGAAAAATGAAATTGAAGGTTATGACTGTTTTATCATAAAAATATTCCTGAACTAGCAAACAACATGAGACAATGAGTAGCAATAAAAAAAATCTTTCCAGGCTACAAATTTATCAACCATGCCCAAAACCTTCCTTTTCCTCAAAACCAATAAACCTGCAAATTAAACCACAATCACATGGCTTAAGCCAACAAATGTGCTTGTGCTTGAGTAACTAAGAAGGAAAACCTAGGCCTAAGCCACCTGGAAAACTCTTTGAATTCTAACGCCTCCTGATTCCAAGAAATTAAGATTCCGCTATTTTTGAGGTATCCATTTCTGAACCTAATTATTTATTAAGAAATTAGAATGGCAACAAGGTGGCCGCCGGCGGGAACCGAGGAAGGCAGGAAGCGGTGGCTGCCAACTGTGTGCTTGGCTGAGAAATGACAATACCCGACACTTGTCCACAATTCGGTGCCTTTATTTATTGAATATCTAATATAATTATTTGATTACAAGTGTCACATTATAATTGGTTTATCAATATCATACTACGAAATGAAAATAGTCCCGAGTCCATTTTATCGTTTCTTAAACCCTTAAACCCCAAATTGAAATTGCTTGATTTCTCACTTTCTCCGGTACCTCCGCGAACATGGCGGAGTACGACACACAAGTCCTACGCGGGCATGAGCTACGACTCCTACGCTGCACCCTCCGTCCACCGCCGTCTGAACCCTCTTCTCAGTATCAACCTTCAGATTTCGATGCCTCTCTCCCTCCTCTCCACGCTCTCATCTCCATCATCCTCACTTCCATCGAGTCCGGGGACTACCTCGGAGCCCTTTCCTCGAACTCGGCACGACTCGTGCTTGCCTCGTCCGACTCTGACCTCTCTTCTGACTCGCCTGACCGTGTTTACTCCGAGTTACTCGACCGAGTCGAATCGTTCATCAACGAACCTTCCATTGACGATGCGGAGAAAGCTTGTAGAGTTGTTCTTGTTCTATGCGTTGCTGTGGCCTCTTTGTTCTGGTTCACTCAGTGCAATTTGACTGGGTAAAGCCTTCAATTACTTGTAAATGTAAAAGTGAATGCTATTGTTTGTTTGTTTGTTACTCTTATAAAATAAGAACATGTTTTTTTTTTTTTTTTTTGTGGTTCAGAGAAGAAAAGATATTATTTTAGTCTGTGTGAGAAATAAGTTAGAATTGAAATTGTATTTAGTTATTTGTTTGTTTTTAATCGGTTATGAATTTTCTTTTGTATGTACAATAATAATAATGATAAGGAAGTTGTAATGTTATGACTAAATGATGTTGATTTTTTTCCCTTTTTTCTTAATAAATATTGAATTTGAAAATTAGGCCGGCGACTGGGTTGCCGAAGCGTCCACTACCAATGAAGGCGTGGTGGGAAGGAAGTGAGATGGTGGAGTGGGAGAATTGGGCGAGGAATAAACTCATGGCTGCTGCTGGCTCTGACTTGCTTGGCAAGTTCTCTTATCTTCAGGTATATCTATATCTATATCTATATATATATATATATTTATGTATATTTTTTATCAATTCATAAACATATCCTTCAATTGATGAAAAATAAAAAATGTTTAATTCTTTTTCTTGTTGCTACTTTTACTATTCACTTTTCCCTTTTGAAGCAATGAGCAAAAATTTACATTGAGATCTAAAAGTAAAAGAGAGAGAATTTTAAATAATTAAAACCTTAAATGAATCTTTTTATTTAAATAATTATATTTGAAAAAAACAAGTACACTAGTTGAAAAAAACTGATGTTTTCATTCCTTTTTGTCATTTTCCTCTCATTTTCCCATAGTTTTAACCAGGTAAAGTATTAGGCTTTAGTTACTTGTTTTTGTTAATTGATTTTAGCAATTTGTTTTCTTTTTCCTTAAAACCGAAGCAGACGGTGAAATGCAAATCATATATCATTAAAAATGACCAAACAATTCTTAATTAATTATCTGTTATAAAAGTGAATTCTTTTCTAGGAGAGCCTGATTATGGTTCATTAATGCCTACATATGCATATCTAGGTGATGTCAACTCTTTATTGTTGTATATGATAATATTAACTTCTCTATATAAAATTTGAAATCTGTTCCTTGCATACCTTTGGCTTGAGTATCTAGTTGTGTCATTTTGCATGATCTTGTTTTCAAGTTTACGCTTTGGGTTCTTTAAATTTAGTTAAAATCGTCTTTTCTGCTTTGTAGTACATAGTTTTTGCCAAAATGTTGCTCCTGAAGACAAGGGATCTACTATTTGAAGCAAGTGCCGAGTACACATTTAAAATCAAGAGCATTTCATGGTGGCTGTTTAGAACTCTGCTTATTCACCAACGAATTTTGGATGAGCGGTCTTCTTCTCTTTTTGACTTATTACAAGTATTTAAGGGTGAAACTTCTAGTCATTTTGGAAGTTTGGAAAAAGTGACAAGTTATTGGGATGCTCAATTGCAAGATGGGGAAGCATCTACAGTTGTTTCAATGGTTCATTTAGAAGCAGGGGTGCTAGAATATATTTATGGCCGACTTGATCCTTGTAGGTGAGTTTCAAGGAAACATGGTCTATTGGATAGGCTTATTACAAACATATTAATTTTTACTTCAAAATTTATTGAACAGAGTTGCTAGGAATATTTATATATTGTTTGATCTTATCTTTATGGAATTGTACATACATGCATGGAGCTGCTTATTCACATCTTGAGAAGATTTCCTCCCTTGATTTTCATCCATGTGAAAACATTCTTTTCCAGCAATTAATTGCAGATTATTTTGATTCCTTTGTTGCATGCTTCAGAATTTGAGAGATGTCACATCTGTTGCATGTCAAAATGTATTGATGGTATTATTGAACAAATAGTTATGTTTAACAGGTATTAAGTGGACCATACCTTTTCTTGAGGCATGATAGTTGCTTAAAATTTTTATTTTGAGTGTCAGTATTTTATGCCATGTGTGAAATATGAAGAGGGCAATATGCTTATTCAATAATAGGGAAAAAATTGAGAGCCCAATATTCCCACTCTAGGAGATGATACTCATGCTTTGCATTTTTCTCTTTATCACAAATCATGATTATTTATGCATAGCCTGAAGTTCCAAGTAGTACGCTAGTTGCTTTTGTTTTCAAGCTTATTTTTGTTCATTGAAGTCATTTTGTTCATTTCAGGCTACACTTGGAGTCAGCTGAAGTGGCAGCTGGGCTTCATCTCTCTGTTACTGGTGTTCTTGGCTTACGCACTGTACATCAGGTAAATGTTGAGAAGGTCTTACTATGAATAATGCCTTTGTTGTGAATTCTTGTTCAATTATTCTTAACATTAGGAACCATTTGTCCATAGGTGGAACCAAAGGCACAAATGGTATTGGTTGCAAATACAAGCTTGAAATCAGTAAGTGGTGATATCTGCTCCTCCATAGCTCCTGGCATACAGTTGTCCGGTCCAAACATCAGTGAAGCTTCTGACATATTTATGACACCAAAGCTAGTAGAGAATGGTAATGATTTTGGAAAGAATGAATGTGGTGGTAGTGCTGCCACTTTAACAGCAGTCCAGCAGGCAGTGGTTTTAGCACAATGCCTGCTAATCGAAAAGGGTGGTCGACAAGATGAAATGCAAGGTAAGGAGGTCAAATATTTGTTGACTGGACCTTCTGCTGGTATGAGCATTGCTTTTGGTTTTCTCTGCACTTATTTATCTATTTATATCTATTTTGTAACATGATATTATAAATCTTTCGCTACAGTGCTGTTAATGCTTAAGAGGAGCCTTCAGAAAAATAAAATCTTTAAAATACTTGTAATCGGTAGGTATGAACTTGAATTCATTAAGGGTGCCTTCTTTCAGTAAAACAAGGACAACACTTAGGCTTAACATTGTTATCTAAGCAAGGAGAAGGTTTTGACAGCATCATTATTGTGTTCATTATGTATCATATGACTCTCATCTTGTATATGTTATATTTATTCCAAAAAGTTTTAGATTTATGCATTTTCTTGTTCAAGCATCAGACGTATAGCCTCCTAAAATAACATCCTGATACTTAAACCTTAGCTTATGTTCCCAAGGTCTTTTTTCTTTTTCATTCCTGGTCACCCTTCAATTGGTCTACCCCCAATCTGTCCTTATTTCAAATTAATAAATTGATCCTTTCTCTTCTGTTTCCTTTTTCTTCTCAAATTTTAGCCTGTTTTGCTTGGTTGGGGTTTCAATAAAAAGTACTTTGAAAAGTGTTGTCAAGTTGAAATTATTTGAAATAATTAAGAACACAGTTTATTTGTTTAATTTTTTTTATTGGTTTGTCTATCAGTTATTCATTGCTTCTTTCTTTAGAGGTTTCAGTTTAAAACCTCCATAAACTTATTTTAAACTTTTAAAGCAGTTCTAGCGTGTCCAATTTTGCTCACCTTCATCCCTTCAGTATAGAGAAGTTGCAAGCAAAGTGAAACTATCACTTTATTGTTACTCTTCATTTGATGTACTGTTTTTGGAACTTTGTAGGCATATGTTGAGAATGATTTTGTAGCTATTTCTTCTATATTATGCCATCACATTGTTATTTGTAAATATGTAGGCAACTTTTCTTCATTGTTTACAATTTCCTGCTCAATTACTGTTGCAGGTTGGGATATGGCTCCGTATATAGAAGCAGTTGATTCTCAACAATCCTCATACTTCATTGTAAGCTGATTAATGTAAAAGTACCCTGCTACCTGTGTTAAACAAATTTGTCCGCAAGTTTGTTTGGGGGTTTTAAATCTTTAATATGTAACTGTATTAGTGTGGAGTTGTATTCCTAGAAATTTTTGTGCCTTACATATGGAGCTTTATCTAAATTAAGTATGCCAGAATTGAACATGAAATCTAAAGTTAGTCAAGATAGTAAATGATAATTAGGTTTGACCAGAAGAAAGATGATTTAACTATCATCACAATGATCTTTTTAATGAACTATCAAATTTTTAAATGCAGAAGGCTTTTTACCATTGAAATGATCTTTAACTTTATTAATTTTGATTGCTACTTGCTTTGTAACTTTTCAGTTGCAGTGTTTCTGTAACATATTAAGAATTCGTTGGGAGTCAACTCGCAGTCGCACAAAGGAGCGTGCTCTACAGATGATGGATAACTTGGTAACACTAATGTTCCTGTAGTGATACTTTCTCTGGTCTCTTTTAAAAACATACTGTGACATTGTCATTTTCTATCCATGCTTTTTCTTTGCTTATATTCCATTTTTGTGATTACAATGTCCAATTAGTAATTTTTTATGTAGTACTATTTAATATAATATTTTATTACAGTTTAGACTCATAGAGTTTGCATATTAATTTATACTCTATACCACGTCAAATATTGTGATGAATGCCAAAGTTTGATGTCATTTCAACCATTGTGTTGACTAACTAATCATGCATTTTGTCTCTATGAGTTGCTCTTTATGACATTGGACAAGAGTTTTATAAGATGTTGACTTTGGGTGTTTATAAGATGTTGCTTCTTTTATCTCTATCTTTTGTTTTAATTATTTCAGGTTGAGAGTATTCATAAGCCTTCACCTGTGGTTCCACTGAGGCTTCCTTTTTGTTATGCTGTTTATATCCCGACAATTCCTGCTCTTCAGAAGTAAATCTATTTTTTATACAATGGTTTATACTTTTAGTTTTTCATTAAGTTGCATCATATTCATAATCTTCTTTTATGTAGTTTGTTTATTCATCTTCTTTAATAAAGCTAGTTGTTTTAACAATTTCTTGCTGTGTTCAATGATGGTTCACTTTTTCTCATTTTCCTCATAATTTTAGGCAATATGGTGACATTTTAGTTAGCTGTGGTTTGATTGGAGAGGCGCTTAAAATCTTTGAGGATTTAGAGTTGTGGGATAATCTAATATACTGCTACTGGTATGAGGAACTATATCATCTCTTTTCTGAGTGAAGATTTTCTTCTTTGTGTTTATCCATACATTTTGTTTCTTTTGGAACTATTTGTTGTTTATTTCAATCTCATGTGAGATTTGACATGCTTAAACAGCCAATTAGAGAAGAAAGCAGCTGCTGTTGAACTCATCAAGATGCGGCTGTCCAAAACGCCAAATGACCCAAGATTATGGTATGTGGATTTACCTTTTCTTATTGATATTTTCATGTTGTATTTTTTTTGTTCATTTTATGTTCAATTTAAACATGTTTATTTCATTGCTTGTGCCTAGGCTAAAAATGTTGGTCTCATTTACTAGGCTTGTTTGATTGTTGCTTTTGTTGCTTGCTTTTTGCTATTTGCTTTTACATCATAAATTTGCTAAAAAAACAAAATTATTATTGATTGAAAATGAACAAATAACTAAAACATAACAGCAATCCTAACATAACTATTCTATGTAAAAGTAAAATCATGTATTATGTTCTTCAAAATGTTCACATTTTTAATTTTAAGTGTTTCCAAAATAATTTTTGGTTTTGTATTCAAACGCATTTTTGCCTATTGCTTCTGAAAGCAAAACATAAATAGCAAAATAAACAACCAAATGTATTATATATTTTCACATGTAATTTTGATTTCAGTATTAATGACTTTTTTCCTTTTCTAAAATTTGTTTTATGCTTGCACCAAATTATGTACCATTTGAGAAGCATGTTGTTGCTCAAAATGGAACAATCAATGATTTAGAGCTCTCTTTGTTCATTGCTTTTGCTACTTGGTTTTCGCTATTCGCTTTTGCTTCCTAAAGGGGAAAGCAAATGATAAAATGCAAAATCAAAAATAATGTTCGAAAATGAATAATTAACTAAAATAAAAATACAACACCAATTCTAATTGTTTGATATAAATTAAAATAAAAATAGTTAAAATTTTAATTTCCGATTAAAAAATATTTTTTGTGTGTTTTATGGTTTACTTCTAGAAGAAAAAACGAGTGAAAAAGCAATATGAGCCTTAATTTAAAACATCTAAGCATCTATACTTCCCATGCTTAATTTTCTTTGCCTTATTTTCAGCGGGTTGTATTACAACACATACTGCTTACAGGTAATTTGCTTTAGTATGGTTTTATGTTGTGGTGGCTATCAGATTTTTTGGTTTAGGCATTTTACCTTATAAAATGAAGTGAATAATTAACAACTCTTACAGTATCTGAAGTAATTTATTGTATTTTAATTACTTATTAATTTATAATTATATCAAAAAACTAAATGTACACATTTTAATTATAGTTCAATGTAAAATCAAACACAAAAATATAACAATTTTACTAATGTGAAATTTGTAATAGTTTTAAATGAGTTATTTTTTCTAATAAATAATTACATAAATTCATAAGAAAATACATAAGAAATCATCTATCTTCTTCGTCCTTGACCCATTGTGACCCAAAGAGGCAGAAGCAAGTTAAAGCCAATTAAATAGATGGCAACATGCTTATATTACTTTGTATAGTAGTTTTCGACTCCCTGATTTCTTCTTGAGGGGCCAAAGGGTCATCACCCTAGTTATAGTCCCATTAAAGTGGTTGATATGATTTTAACTTCTAGAATGCCTATTTAAATGGCCTCTTTTGGCTTGAACCATTCTCTCTCACAAACCAACACCACATTTTTTACTGTTATACTAGATGATGGCCTTTGATAGTATGTGCATAATTTAAAATTGAATTACATAGTATATTCATGATAGATAAAGTCTTGGTAAAGATGATCTTGATATGCATAAGGGAACTACTCTTAAGAATTTTGTATTTGTATAGGACAAGATCAGATATCATATTTATGGGTTATCCCAGCCCCTTAACTCTATGTTATATCCAACAAAAAGGGTTCATAAAAAAGAAAAGACAATTTATCTATGCTTTCCATAGATTATTTTTTTCTATATGAAATTTGATATTTTCTTATAGGATGTCCTCCATATTCATGGCTTCCATGCGTGAAAAGGCTTTACTTAAAATGTGGCACCTATGCCACCTCTGCTGTTTTCTCCAGATTAAGTATTTTTCACCTTTATGTATGGATGGATGGTTATGGTACTTTTGGGTTTTTGTTGCCATTGTTGCACATGTGGACACAGATTTATTGAGTTGCTTTTGTTTTACATTTTATATATATACTAAAATTAGTGTAATATATCTTAACATGAAATTTTTAATTTCTAGGTGTTCATTGGGTGATATTACAAATAGTGATACCTGTTACGAAAAAGCCTTGGAAGTTTCAAATGATAGGTCAGCACGAGCTAAGGTGACTGACTTATGTTGCTTACAGTTAAATAGATTTCAGTATGTTTTGTTTTAGTATTTTTCATTATATTTTATTTATTTATTTTACTTTTTTTTTTTGTGTGTCAGCGATCTCTTGCTTATAATGCATATCAAAGAGGAGAGTATGAGAGATCTAAGATCCTATGGTATATTGCTTTATTTGCTTCTACTGGTGTTTCTGTTTAGCACTGATACTTAAAACGGAAAAGGATTATCTGGCTGAAAAACTGATTACACTTGAATCAGGGAGTCTGCCATGGCCTTGAATTCATTGTATACAAATGGATGGTTTGCACTTGGTGCTGCTGCATTGAAGGTGTGCAACTCGATCTTTCTTTTTTGCTTTTTGTGCTAGGCAACTTGTTGATCTTTATTTATCAGGTTCTGCACCAATTTTACCCATTCAGAGTATATATAAGAAAATGGATTTTTTAAAAATTCTTTTTGTTATGCGAATTTGTTTCTCTATTAAAGTTTTTAAACTTATGATTAAGATCATGACATACAGGCTAGGGATGTTGAAAAGGCGCTTGATGGTTTTACTCGTGCGGTGCAACTTGATCCTGAAAATGGAGAGGCTTGGAATAATATTGCTTGTTTGTATGCTCCTTTCTCTTTGATCTTTGATCTTATCTTGTCATTTGTTTGCCTAAGATATTTGTTTTTTTCTCCTCATCTGGAAATGGCAATCACTGCTATTATCCATGGAATGATTTCTGTGTTTGGAGTTCCTCTAATAAATGAGGATTGGTTTTTAAATTTTGCCGCCTTGACATTTTTTCCTATGCTCCAAAAAAGAAAATTTTTAGTTATATACGCATCTTAAATTTGGATTATTATCATTATCTAGATGAATTAAACTGCTGTAATAAGGATTGGTTATTATTTTTACCACCTAGTCATCTGATTTTAGGTCCATGTGGTAGTGAATAGTGAAAACTCTGTGGTTTAATAAAGTTTTGATCTCTTCTGCAAAGTCTAGTCTTAGAGAATGGAAAAATCTTAACTCAAAATTTTGGGCTCATATTTCTACCTTCTTCCTTCTTATGGGTTATATGAGATTTCAAGACTTTGTTTAGCTTCCATTTGTGAAAACATCTTTTATAAGCATTTGCTTATGACCTATGAATTGCTGAATATATGAATATACAAATTTGGAAGGGTATATACATCATGAATGATTGTAACATCTTGATAGGGCATTGGTTATAAACAATATCAAGATCTTTTGTTGTCTTGAGCGTCCATGTTAGTTGTTTGTTCTCTCTTTTTTATTTACTTATTAAAATACATTACACTGCTATTTATATGGAAACCTGATTCTACTGTCTTGAACTTGAAAGATGCCATTTGTTGAATCCCTGAGGCTTTAGCTGGATGGAGAAGGATTAAATTGATACGGCCAGATTTGGCTTTCAAATTACAAACCCTTGTTGAGATGCTTATTGATTACTAGGATTTCTATTTTAGAGTGATTATCATTTTATTCCAAAACTTTGATCCCTTAACTTGACTTGCTCATAACAATTTTCCTTTTCCACTGACTTGACTTGCCCATAACAATTTTCCTTTTCGCCTGTACTTTCCACTGACATCTCAATGGTTAGATGTCAATATTTATCCCCCTGTATTTTGTCAACTTTTTTCTCTCTATCTACCTTCTACTAAGCCACATCATAATGCTTTGATGTTTGGGACAACAAAATTTGTTGAAATGAGTCATAAAAGTGAAGTTGATGTGTTTTTGTAGTACGGTTGATTGGCCACTTGGGTAACTAACTTTTGTTCTGAGAGCTGTTACTCCCAAGTTCACTGTGAATCAAAGTCAAGCATAAGTGAGATTTTAAACTATTTTACTGGAAATATATCTTAATATTACATTCGAAACCTGAGGTTTTTCGATTAGATTTAGATCCTAAGATGGATTAAGCGTTTGCAGGAAATTTCTGATTTATGTATCTGCAGTATATAAACAGGAAATCCAAGAACTGATTCTTGTCATAAATTGCTTCAGAATTCTTGAAATCATCCAGATTCCTGGTTCAGTCTCCCTCATTGGTGCAACCTGATGTCAACTCCTAGTTCTACACAATTGAGCCTTCAACAATGCATTGTTCCTGGATAGGGCACCAAAAATATTTTAACAGTGTGATAGTTTGCATTTGGATTTCTCATGTAAAAATGCTCAACTGGCTGTGGGGAGGTAATAACAGGTGTTTTTGTGGGCCCAAATCAATTCATTGGATCTTGTGCACAGAAAAATTCATAGCCTTAGATTTGTTTAGCATATTTCACTTGTTATGTTAATATTTCGACAATTGACTGTCGGTGCTTTGATATGACGAAAAAGTGGATAATATCCCCTTACGGGAAAAGATATTGAATAGAAAGGAACATGAACCTTTTTATCTTGTCTTCAGTTTTTTGTCCAATCAAAAGAAAGAATAGGAGCATCTTTTGACCCGACATAAGATTGGATATTACTGTTATTAGTGGGTATTTGTGTGTGTCTATATATATGTATATTTAAGTTTTACTTGTGAAAATTAAGAAAAACGGGTTTAATGGATGAGAAAAAAGTAGGTGAATTGCTTATTGCCTGTAGCACAGTATGGTTTTAATCTACTTTTCTCTGCCTTGGGGACAAGTGTTAGATATGAGTATGTGAATAATAAAGGCATGTTAAACATTTTATAAGTTTTTCCACATATTTGGAGGGTTGAACCTCCATAACCACATCCTCTAGATACATGTTGGACATGGATACTTATGGAAAATGAAGAGCTATAGGAACATCACATTCTAGATCTGTGCCACATGTAATTGCAAAATGTAAAATTATTGTGTAGAAATGGACATCTTTTAAGTGGAAATATGGACTTACAAATGCAATTTATCTAGAGATTTTGGTTTGATTCTAGCTACTATTGAGGAAAGTTATTACTGGAGTCATGCGAAGGAAGAGTTTTTTATATGGAACTAAACAAAACCATGTTCTCATTTAGGCTTGTATGGGATATTACAGACATGCTCTTTGAGTTCTTTGAGGCTGGGATGGAGTGTTATTCAGACTTTTGATATCTTTATTTGTGACTAAATTAGTCAACCATGATCTTCTTGCATGACTTTTTGAGATATTACTTTATTGAACTGTATTCAGCATATCTTTTGTATCTGAATCAAATATCTTCATTGTATGCGGTAGTGTACTATATCATCATTCTCTTTTTCGTTTTAATGAAATTTTATCACAGTTTTCAATCATATAAATTTTAGGTGCATGGTAAATTTAATCAATTAGAACATATTTGTTGACAATGCAGGCATATGATTAAGAAGAAGGGCAAAGAGTCCTTTATTGCGTTCAAGGAGGCCTTGAAATATAAGTACTACTTTTCACTTTGATTCAATAACGCACTTGTGCACACACCAGGCCCATTATTTGCAAACACACTGTTTATTGCTTTACTGTGACCAACAACCTGTATTGGTGACAGACGAGACAGCTGGCAGATGTGGGAGAACTACAGCCATGTTGCTTTGGATGTTGGCAATATTGGTCAGGTAATAATCTTGCTTATGCAGTTTGGTTTGAGTTGTTACTTAGCTAATCAGCCAATCTGTTTTAACATCAAGCAAGTCTTCTCTTTGGCCCTTCTTCGAAGGTTCTGCTTGATTCATACGAAGATCTAATTATAAAGAACACTTCATCTGGCCCTTTTATGTAGGATGATGGACAACATTTTATATCATATAATTATTATTCGCTGGTCATTTTGAGTTTCAGATTATTCTAGTTTAAGTAACTGAATTTTTAAAATTATCTGAAATTGAGTTGAGTTCGTGTCACTTTTTTACATTAACTTGTATTTTATTTATCATTTTTAATTAAATTTAATATATAAATTATGCTTGATTTAGGTTTCATGTCATTTGGGGTTTGGCTGAGGGTCAGTTTGGGTCAATTTGGGCCTAGATTGCCCCGAGTTCATGTTCATCAAAATTTCTTAGGGTTTTGGTTTATTGAGGTTTTTTTTCTTTCTGTTTATTCAGGTTTAGGTTGTTGAGATTTAAGCTTTACTTGGTAGGTATGATAGAAAAATGATAGGTAGAAGGATGGAAAACATGTTTTTTTTTTTTTTTTTTTTCCTTCCGTTGATGTGCTGCATAGAAAAGATGGAAGAGTGGATAAAAAGAATTAATTTTTCCATCCATTGCTTAGTATAATTGAAAACTCAAAAAAAGGAAAATTAAGGAAAATTAATTTTTCCATGATACCCTTGTAAAAGCATTCACTAAAAATTGTTATTTCCATTAACATGGGTGCTTGGATTTTATTGGTTATTTGTAAGTGAAGAAATCTCTAGAATAAAACTATTTTATTCTTCTTTATTTTTTTTATTGCAATGCTACAATTGCATGAAAATATATAGGCTAAAGATTGAATATTCTCAGCTTTAAAACCTAAGATTTTCATGTGTTAAAACAACTAATCAAAGGAGTAATTTACTTTCTACACATAATAGGAAAATATCTAATGGATTTGGTGTAATTACCCAAATCACTCCTTATTCTAAAAATAAAAGATTTAACTAAAATAGATAAAGTCAACTAATCAAGTAATAATGAGGATTAGATTTTCACACTTCCCCTAAAGTTGGGTGGTAGATGTCAATTATGCCTAGCTTGGACTTCAGATTCTCGAAGTTGTTTCGAGAGAGAGCCTTAGTGAGTATGTCTGAAGTTTGGAGGCACATGGGAGTATAAACTAATCTAACAATTCCTACCACTATCTTCTTTTTGATGAAGTGACGATCAATCTCCACATGTTTAGTCTTATCATGATGAACGGGATTCTTTGCTATACTTATGGCAGCTTTGTTGTCTCAGAATATCTTTATAGATTCTTCTGTAGAGACCTTTAACTCCCTTAGCAATCTTTTTAGCCAAATTCCCTTACATATGCCATGAGACATAGCTCTAAACTTAGCTTCCGCGCTGCTTCTAGCCACCACAGATTGCTTCTTGCTTCACCAAGTAACTAAATTTCCCCACACATAGGTACAATAACCAGTAGTTGATCTTCGGTCAGTAACAAATCCAGCCCAATCAGCATCAGTGTAAATTTCAACAATTTGGTGTGATGTCTTCTTAAAAAATAACCTTTTGCCAGGACTTTTCTTTAGGTACTGTAAGATTCGATATACAACCCTCAAGTGGTCCTTGGTTGGGTTGTTCTTTGCTTACCATGCTAATTGAAAAGCCGATATCTGGTCTTGTATGAGAGAGGTTGATGAGTTTCCTATAAGTCTTTGATATTTGCCCTTCTTTGTTGGTGGACTTCCTTCTTCTATTCTTACCTTATTCATTGTGTCCATAAGGGTGTCAGTAGGTTTGTATCCAAGCATTCCAGTTTCCTTTAGTAAGTCTAGGACATACTTACTTTGTGAAGTAGAGATGCCATTCCTTGAGTAAGCTACCTCCATACCAAGAAAGTATTTGAGGTGTCCCAAATCTTTGATTTCAAATTTTTTCACTAGAAGGTTCTTTAGGTGGCTAATTTCTTCCACATGGTCTCCAATAAGAATAATGTCATCCTCATAGACAATAAGAATGGCTATTTTTCCTTCAAGTGAATGTTTGACAAACATGGTGTGATCGATCTAGCATTGTGAAAAACTATACTTCTTTACCACTTTTGTTAGTCTATTAAACCATGCACGTGGGGATTGTTTGAGACCATATAAAAACTTTTGAAGCTTACATACCTTGCCAGAATTGTCTTGGTTTTTGAATCCTAGAGGGACTTCCATGTAAACTTCGTCTTCTAGGTTGCCATTAAGAAATGCATTTTTGACATCTAGTTGGTGGAGTGGCCAATCTAGATTTGCTGCCAATGATAATAACATCCGGATTGAATTAAGTTTAGCAACCAAAGCAAATGCCTCCTAATAGTCAACACCGTAAGATTGAGTAAATCCTTTTGCAACAAGGTGAGCTTTAAATCTATTAGTACTGCTATCTGCATTGTGCTTGATAGTAAAAATTAATTTGCACCCCAACTGGATTTTTCCCTTTAGGTAGTTCTGAAATCTCCCATGTTTCATTCTTTTCTAAGGTCTTGATTTCTTCCAGAACAACCATCTTCCATGTTGGTCGCACAAGTGTTTCATGAATATTATTGAAAATCTACATATTGTTTAGTGTGGTAACAAAAGCCCGATAACCGGGTGATAAACCTTCATAAGAAACCACATTATAGATTGGGTGTTAAGTACATGATCTCACACCTTTCCTTAGAGCAATTGGTTGATTAAGATCATCAAAAGATTCAATTGAATCAGATTCAGTAAAAGTGTTACCTGTGTTGGTTTCAAGTATTTCTGGAATCGGTTCAAATTTTTGGTTTTGCTTTGAAGGTGTACATTCTCCTAGATCCTTCTGAGTTTTATGTCTTCTTGAATAGACAATCAGTTCTTTGTTTGTTTTCCTTTATGGAGACTTTAGGCCTGGAGGATTTGGTTGGATGTTTTAGACTTGAAAGGGAGTTGGAGGATTTGGTTAGATGTTTTGGACGTGAAAGGGAGTTTGAGAAGTGTTTGGTGGTTCGGTAATAAGATCTTCCCAAAGCTGATATTCCTGTGTGATTGGATTCTCCCTTTGAATAGTAGTTTTGGGAAAGTAAGGTTGATTTTAAAAAAAAGTAACATTCATGGAATGGTAGAATTTCTTTGTTACTGGTGAGTAACACTTGTATCTTTTTTGATTCGGGGAATATCCGAAAAATATGCGTTTGATGGATTTGGGATCTAATTTGCTTTGGTTTTATTGGTTGGTAAGAACAAATGTAGTGCATCTAGACACTTTAATGAGAATAAACAAGATGATTCAAAGGTGAGGATAAAGAACCAAGAAAGGATTGGCAAAGGCTTTGAAATTTCAGGACTCGAGAAGGCATTATGTTTATAAGATATGTAATGGTAGGAACGGCCTCACCCTAAAAATGCTTAGGTACATGGGTAGTCATCATGAGGGTTCTTGCAACTTCCAACAAATGGCGATTCTTTCTTTCAGCAATGCCATTTTGGTGAGGAGTGTCAACACATGAGCTTTGATGAATTATACCATACTTCATTTGATATGGTCCAAGAATTGAATTGTAGTATTCTCTTCCATTGCTGATTCTCAACACTTGGATTTTGGTTTTGAATTGAGTTTGGATCATATTGTTGAAGTTTTGGAATAGTTGGCCCACTTTTGATTTTTCCTTCATAAGGAATACCTAAGTAACCCTGGCGTGATCATCAATAAATGCGACAAACCATCTAGAGCCAGTAATATTATTTACTCTAGAGGGACCCCAAATGTCACCGTGTATCATTGAAAGAGGATAGGATGATTTGTAAGGCTGATTAGGATATGTGGGACAAGTACGTTTGGATAGTTGGCAGACTTCATACTGAAAGTTGTTAGGATTTTAATTGAATAATGAGGGAAACAACCTTTTAAGGTAGAAAAAATTTGAATGACCTAACTGATAGTGCCATAACATGATAGTACTATCTTTATTATTATTGGAGGATGAAGGCACAAAAGAAGTTTTTTAATATTGTCTTTCAGAATCATTAGCTCTTAGGATATAGAGTCTTGCATACATCTTAGCATTGCCAATCATTTTCTCTGAGTCCAAATCCTAAAATAAACACAAATTTGGAAGAAATTTAGTAGCACACTTGAGGTGTCTTGTAAGTTTGCTTATAGACAGTATATTGCAACTTAGATTTGGGACAAATAGAACAGAATCAAGTGTTATCTTTTTGGAAATAATAATAGAGCCTGTACCTGTTACTTTTGAAAATGACCCATTAGCAATTCGAATTGTAAAATTTTCATGACATGGGTTGTATTTACTAAATATAGATGTATCCCTAATCATATGGTCTGAAGCTCCTGAATCCACAATCCATGAATTTGATTTCTCTAGTTTTACACTTGAGATACTTAGAAAATTACTTTTTTGTGCTAAAGAACTTATTCGAATAAGAGTGGTAATGTTTTGCAGTGATTGGGAAATGTTAGCTCTGGGGTTAGAGGTAACCCTTGATACCGGACTCTCCTTTCTGCTGGCCATATTGGACTCTGAGTGAAAATTTTCAAAGGTTCAGATCATGCTCTGATACCATGAAGAAATCTCTAGAATAAAACTATTTTATTCTTCTATATTTTTCTTATTACAATGCTAGAATTGCATGAAAATATATAGGCTAAAGACTGAATATTCTCAGCCTTAAAATCCAAGATTTTCATGCATTAAAACAGCTAATCAAATGAGTAATTTACTCTCTACACATAATAGGAAAATATATAATGGATTTGGTGTAATTACGCAAACCACTCCTTCTAAAAATAAGAGAGTTAACTAAAATAGATAAAGTCAATTAATCAAGTAACAATGAAGATTAGATTTTCACAGTAAGATCTGTTGGAAAAGGCTACATTGACAAGTTTGATTCAAATAGGCCTTGTTTTCTCTCCCCTAATCCTCTGAATGTGGATGGATTGAGTTTGTGGGCTTGGAAAGAAAACAGCTATCTCTCCCCTGTTCTTACCTCTCAATTCTCCCCTATGAAGCACAACTAAAATCCATTTTGTCTCCCCTTTTCCATTGTTCCAGTTTTATGTTGTGCCAAGCAAATACTTAAGATTCAAATTGGCTTAAGTTTCGGATAGTTTGGGTGGGTCATTCAGGTCAGGTTAACTTTTTCCAGCTCTTCTTTGAACCCAGGAGAAACTTTATTCTTACAAATAGCAAGTGTTATTATTCAAATTGGTATGTTATGTAACAACAAATAACTTGTTATAAGTTACAACACAGTTCACTGTACTTAGCCTTCACCACACTGTTGTTATGAGCTATATGAATTGTTCCCCTTGTCTAATAGAAATTAAATTGGGAACTAGTACTGTTTAAGGTGTATATACTTTGGCTAGATAAAGGAGATAGAAAACAACTTGTGAATTTGAATGAGGCCTTATGAGTAAGATAAATTTAAATTTTTTGCATCTAAGTAGAAGTGCTTAAATGGAATTCATTTACTAAAGTTTTGCTATTCTTTCTGGTTCTTAATCTCAAGATTCTCTGCGTGGGAGCTTTTCCTCGTATAGCCTTCAGTTGAATGACTATTGATTCCGATTATGGTTATACTTCTATTTGTCTCTTATCTTTCTATTTATATGCTATTTTATCTATTTATTTATCTTTGTAGGCTCTTGAAGCTATTAAGATGGTGTTAAATATGACCAATAATAAGAGAATTGATGTTGACTTACTAGAGAGAATCATGCAATATTTGGAGGAAAGGGCTTCAGCTAGACTGTCTGATGTAACCAATGATGATGATCTTTCCAATCAGACCAGTCCGAATTCACTTGTATATTCTGTTAATACATCTGCAAATGCTGAGCCGACTGTGAGGAAATTGAGAGAAAATGAGCATTTGATGGAGTTGGTTGGAAAAATTCTACAACAGGTTTGAAATAATTTCATGATTGTGGTTATATGTTCTATTGTCTTTTCTTCTTATAGAGAGTGATGCTAAACTCTCTCATATGGGGAGCCAACAGTTGTCTCCTTGTAGGATTCTAATGCTTAAGGTCAATCACAAAACTTCTAAATTTGTGGGTCAGATGCATCAGTACTTTGAGATACTACTTTATGCAGACATTACTTGGGTTGTGCAATTGTGGGCTAAATTATGCCTATGTTAATAAAACAGTTGTGCTTCTAATAGTGAGGCTACCCTCTTTGTAGATGTATCCAAGATATGCATAAAGTAAATAAGTTTTGCATTTGCAAACAGTAATAAGTATCACCACTATATCTAATGCATAAGAGTTGTCTGATACAGATACTTCGAAGTGAAAGTAGGGCAGAATTGTGGGGCTTATATGCAAGGTGGCATAGAATTAAAGGTGACCTCACAATGTGCTGTGAAGCACTCTTAAAGCAAGTTAGATCATATCAGGTATCTCCATCAACATTTACAATGCCTTACATTCTGCTATTGTCAGTTTTATTATTTTAATACATTTTATGGGCCCCATGCACATTTTTTTTCCCTGGAGAGTGACTTCATGCTTATTTGAGTTTCCAATTCTGTGGACTGGAATAAGTTGTCAACGTTTCCTTTATTGTGAGAGAGCATTTTAGTGATTCTATATTCTCTAATGTGTATTTTGTTGACTTATATTCAGACTTTGTGATAAGTTATATGTCTGTGGTGAAGCTTATTTTTTATGCCTTCTAAGTTTTATTCAGGATTGACTTTAGCATACCTTGAATGTAATTCTGTACCATGATGACAACAATAGAAGTCATTCAATCTCTGTTATTTTGTTCTCTCCCTTCTTGTTTTTTGTGCATCTGTTTTCATGTCCTAATTTAATGGATTTATATGATGTGTTTAATAAAAATTGTTATCCTGCAAATGATCTCTGTTTCAAATGGCTTTAAATTGCCATCATTTATTGTTATTGTGCCATGAGTTTGCTCTTATTTTCTCTCTCAGGGATCTGATTTGTGGAAAGACAGAGACCGCTTTAAAAGGTTTGCTCAGGCCTCATTCGATCTTTGCAAGGTCTACATGGATATTTCTTCCTCTACCGGTAGTCTTCGAGAACTACATACAGCTGAGATGCACCTGAAGAACATTCTAAAACAGGCAAGTAGTTTTGTTTTACTATTTATAAATTGCATCGATGCTGCATTTATCTTTTCTATGTTTTCTAGTTTAATGTAAAACTTTCTAATGTGTTCATAAATTTGCTAATCGTTACATTTTTATGTAATTCGTTTTTATCGAATCTGCCGTAGAACTCTACAATTTATTCATTCTCATCATTCATGTGAAGTTTTAAGTTGAAGATATTTGTATCATAACATCTGTCAAGAATACTGTTTTTTATTATATTTGTTTAACATTTGAAATTTTGTGATGTCAACAAACAATGGGTTAGTGACACATTGGTACATAAAGATAGCCGAATTCTTGATTAAATTTAGGTCCTGAAAGTTTAAAAATTCTTAATTAGGCAGGTACTCGAACTTTGCTTCTATGCATCAGTTTACAATTTACCCACAAGATTAACACTAAATATCAATTACTTATATTTTATGCTTAGTGATGTTGTATTTTTCAGGGTGGCATATTTTCAGACACTGAAGAATTCAGGAATGTAGAAGCTTGCCTTAATGAAGTAAAGATGAAACTCCAAGCAGAGTCTACTACACCTACTTAAGAAGTCTGAAGTTGGGAAGTTTGCAGTATGATATGAGATTTAGCATCTACTTCAGGTCCCCCCCTTCTTCCATAACTATGTCAACTTCTGGTTTTAGCTTATGCTAAACTTTTGCAGTCATAATCTTCCTCTGCTTTAATTATGCTGCTATTTGTTTTATACAAGAGCACATCTATAATATTCAGTTTGGTTTTGTTTGGTTGATGCTTTTGCTTTCAGTTCTTTTATTGTTTTAGTTTTTGCTTTTCATTTTTTATTAGAAAAAGCAAAAAAAAAAAAAAAGAAAGAAAAATAGTAACTAAAAAAAGTAACACTTTACTTTATACCTGTTTATAAAAAACCCCCACGTAAAAAAAAAAAAAAAATTGAAACCCCGAGCAGAAATTTTCTAGTGTAGTTTTGTAAAATGCTATGATTTTTTTTTTTTATACGAGTATAATTTTAATCATTATTTAAAAAATTAATTTAATTTTGGTGAGTTTCCACAAAACTTGGAACTGTTTTTATGACGTTATTTTTTCAATTATTAAACAATGTGATTTAATTCCTTTCCTAGTAAAAAATTTATTGTGATATATTAAGCATGTGTTTTTAAACTCTCTCTCCTTTTACTATTTCTTTCCATTTGCATCTTAGTCTTAGTTTGACTATTTCTTTCCATCTATTTCTTTCCATTTGCATCTTAGTCTTAGTTTGACTATTTCTTTCCATTTACATTTAGTCTTAGATAGTTTTTAAATTCTATAAGGTATACTTTGCAATTGAATCCTTCGCATTAAAATTTTAAGTTGTAAATAGATTATTGATCTATTTAACAAAAAAAAAATTATTGTATTAAAGAATATTGAAATAAACTATTATAATAAAAAGTATAATTTCATAAAAATCAGATAGACGTCATGTCAATAGGACACTTAATCTTGACATCAACTAAAATATCTTGATATCTTGATTTTATGCTTGAAGTATAAATTGTTTATGTTTAATGTCTCTTTGAAGAAAGTAATCGATCCGTTGTTCAGTTGGTATCAGAACCTTCTTTCCACGTAAATAAAAGGTAAATGGAGACGAGGATCTGTTCCCAACTACTCACTTACAAATATGGCGTCGCCTCTAAGCCAACACCCTTTGAATAGACCGTCCCCACTTTGGACCACATGACCTTCGGTTCTGTCCATGTTTCTTCGATTCTCCCATTTTATTTTTCAAAAATAATAAATATTTTTTATTTTTATGTTTTTTTTCTTCTAAATTTTTTTAATTTACTTTGAACTTTTTACTCTTTTATTTACCTAGTTAAAAAAAATATTATTCACAAATTTTTTAACGTCATTTTACATTATCTTCTGATTTTAATTTTTTTAACTAAAAATTTAGTCTTTGATACCAAATCAAATTCCTAAAAATATATAATTAGAATCATTTAATTGTATTATCTTAAATTTGAGTAAAACGAATAGTGAGATATGAGATAGAGAAATATAATAAATATGAATAGAAATCAAATGTCGCCAACTCGATAAATTTATAGTTTTAAGTTCTCATTCTTTTTAGTACAAAAAAAAGTTATAATTTTTAATTTATCTTTTTTTTTTTTATCAAACACAATAATCAGTATAATTGATGTGAAGAGTTTAAATTCATATAAAAGCAATTACAGAAATGACATTAAAGATTATGTTTGGTATCACTTTAAAGATTACTGTGTTAATTTAATTATTTTTAGTAATAAAATCATTAAAATGTTTTGGTTACTAATGATATTACATAAAAAAAAAATTATCTAACATAAAACACCAAAATAACATTATCATTAATAATAAAATTATTTAAAAGAAAACAACGATTTTACTTTTTATTGAAAATAATTTATTTTATACAAAATTATAAGATATAAATAAATTTTGATGAGTATAATTTAAAGTTATGGACATGTTTACATTTAATAATCACATAAATTATCTTGTATAAAATCATTAAAAAAAATAAAAATTCACTTATAAAAACTAAAATTTTGAAGAGAAAGCAACAATTTTAAAATTTTCAATAAAAATTTTAAAATAAAATCTTAAATTTCAATCACTAAAATATTTTTACAAACTATTGTATCTTTTATGAAAATGATGTATTTGATTTGTTGGAAAGGGACTAAATTTAGGTTTGTGAAATTAGACATTTGATGCTTTCAACTTCTTGATCTAATAATTAAAAAAATCTTAAGAAAATATATAAAGTAGGAATTCGAATATTATCATCTTCTATCCCCTATTTAATAGATAAAAAAAAATTTTAACACTTGATAAGTTAAGAACGATGGGATTATAAGTATAAATAAATCGAATATGAATGAATTTTATTATATTAATAATTTATTTATTAAATTTATAAATTATAAAATATTATTCATAATTATTTTTTAAATTTTATAAATAAACATAAATTAAGTTTATTCATAAATTGGTTATTGAAATTTTATTAATTTTCATAAATAAATTGATATATAACCTAATTTTATTATATTTGTAATTTATAATAAATTTTAAAATATTATTTATGATTATTTATTAAATTTAATAAATAAATATAAATAAAAAATCAAATATTTACGAGTTTAGCTTGATTCCATCCCTGACGGGGTAGATAGCAGCAGGGAATGAGAGAAGTGGAAACAAACCTACCACCCACCAACCTCTCTGCGGCAAGAGCCGTAAATTGGGCCACATCGCTCCAACGTGGCTTTCGAGGACTCAGCTGAGTTTTGAGTTGGTTTCCCTTACCTACGCGACAAACTCAACAACTTTTTCTTTCTTGGGAAAATCATGTAATGCCAGCGCTCTCATGGAACGTCCTTCAGCTCTTTCATTTGTTTTATTATTTAATTTTAAAAATAAAAAATTGGATTTTAACTATAAAAATTATTTTATATTTTATTAAAAATTAAATATTATTAAAAGATTTTATATTAGTGAGAGTTGAAAAAATAAATAATTAAAAGATACATAAAATTAATGTAATTAAATAATAATTTTTTCTTATATAAACTGATTAAATACATTATGATTTAATTTACATTGTGATTAGGAGTGACGATTTACAAAATTTTGGTTTAAAAATTGATGTGAAATCTTTAAGGAAAAAAATATTATTTGACAAGGTGAAATGTTTTTCTTATTTTTTTATCAAAATTGAATAATAAAAAATAAAAAGCAAAAATATCTACCAAGACGAGCTTTGAAAAATTCGTATCTTTTATAGGAAGGTGGAAGCATGGAAACGACTTTGAAATGACCAAAATGGATATACAAGATTTCACAAACCCCACACGTGGCAAATATTGAAAGCAAAAACCAACGATGGTTAACATGAGAATGCACACACAGGAAAACCAGTGAGCTGTTTTGAATCATTTTAAAATGAGTCAAATCTCAGAGAGATCGAAGAAGGGTTGGTATTTTCCGATACTGTTCTTAAGAAACTCCGCTCTTTATTTTCTTCATTTTAAAATTTCTAAAACAATTGTTTTTTTACTAAAAATAAATTTGATATTTTTTTATAAATTAATGTAAAATATAAAAAATATTATTTTGTAATTTATATTCATAATTAAATACGAAATATACTTATTTTATTTTTATTAAATTTAAATACGATTTTTTTCATATTATAATATTTTTCATATTTAAAATTATAAAAAATGCATAAAAAAACAAAAAAAACTTTCTCTCTCTTACACGCTCTGAATCTTATATGCTTTTAAAAGCATAATCATTTCATTTGGGCTCTCAGAAGCCGAAAAGCATTTCTTCTTTCTCCTTCAAGTTTCTTTAGGGTTTTATTTATTTTTAATTTCTTATTCTTCTTAACACAGAGCTTTTGGAATGGCTTTCTCTTCTCTCATCAAATCCGCCGCCGCCGCCACCCCTCTCATTGAAGCCTCGGTTCGGTCCGACCTCTGTCCCTCACCTTCCGATCGCCTCAAGGTCCTCTACTTTCCTCTGATCAACACCGTACACCTTTTAAAATAAGTGACACGATTTTTCTTGTATATTCTTTTGCGGTTTTTAAAGGAAAACAAATGTGAAGAGCTGAGCTAAACTTAAGCTGAATGACTGAAATTTGCTATTTTTCTAGGACGTTTTCTCGGTAACCAAAAGGAACCTTAGAAATTACAATACCTTGTCATGCATTTTTTTTTTCTTTAAATGTGCAAATATTGATTTTCTTTTACTTTGTTATGTTTCATTTGTTTGGTTGGTGAGAGAACCTTACTTGTTAAGTCGTTTTCGTTATTTTGATGAATATAGGAAATTTGAAAAACTCATTTAGAATGAATTTTTTTTAATTTAAAAATTTATTTTTTTTATAGTTTATTTATGTTAATTGTTTTCCATACTAATGCTAGCTTATGTTGTTAGTAGGTAATCTCAACTCACTTTTTATTGGCAATCTGAATAATAATGATATATTATTTAGGTTTCAAGCATTGGTTTTGGTGGAAATCTCAACTTCTTTTTTGATGCTGCAGTTTCAACTAGATCTTCTTCTTCCTTACAGTTGAGTTATCACGTATTGGTTTTTCATGGTTTTCTTCATTGTGCAAATATTTGGTCTTTTCATCCGATACTAAAAGGTTTTAAAAAATTATTCATCCATTTAGGAAATGCTATTCAAGGAGTATCCAACCCATCAAAGCCACTGCTACTGAAATTCCTCCTGCAGTTCCAAGTGAGAATTGGGTTTTTTTTTTTTTTTTTCTTGTTTTTTATGCTAGGGAAGGATAAAAAGGAGAAAGGGGCTTATTTAATTCTCTTCAAATTAGTTGAGAAGTTGTATGCACTGATGTTCTGCTTTTGGCTTGTTTTTAATTTGTTTAGAGTCATGGAGCAGTGGGAAGACAAAGATTGGAATCAATGGTGCGTTTTTCTTATTTGGATTAAGTTTTGCTTTGCTTTATTTGATAATTGTATGCATCTTCGCCATGTTGTTTCTTTATTCTCCATAGCAATGATTTCTATTCAGTTATTGTGCGTGTTTGGGTTGTTGTGGGTATGCTTGCAAAATAGAAGAGAACTATCCCAGGCTTAGCTCATGTGGTAAGTGTGGATCGGGTTTCTGATAGGAACCTTAGACTTGTGGTACCCAACCCTTCCTGGGAAAGAAAAAGTTGTGAAGAACTGCAGTTCATACATCATATGTACTATTAGAGTATATATGGTTGATATGTTTCACAAGCTATATATGTTTAAATTGGAATTCAGGTTGATGCTTAAATTGCTATTCTGATGCATTATAATTTGTTAAGCTTCAGTTAGCTTTTGACCTTTAGTTCAGTTGCTGTTGGTATGTGCTTAGGAACTGTTTTTTGAGGTAGATGGAGCTAAAAACATTTTGGGAATCTTGCTGGATGGCCCTTGTAAGCAAGTGGACTAATGGTGGCAGAGAATTAGAATTCTGTTAAAGAATTTTTTTTAAGTCCTGAAGTCCAAAACCAAGTAGATTTACCTTAATTCAGAAGTCCCTGTTGCTCTACTTAGCACGATGAAGCATGTAACAACTCGTTTTTGACAATGAACCTTGGCAGGTTTTGGTCGGATTGGAAGGTTGGTTTTACGAATAGCAATCTCAAGGGATGATATTGATGTGGTAGCAGTCAATGATCCTTTTATTGATGCCAAGTACATGGTAAGTATGTTGATTTGTACTTTTTGGTTTGGTCAATATCCTTGTAGTGCCATTAAATTTGAATATATTTAGTTTCAATTTCAATAAGATATCTCTCTTTCATGAATCTATATTTGTCCTGGCTTACCAAAGATGCCAACAATTCTGAACATATGCAGTATTTCATGTATAAAGTGTGGAGGCCACTGGTTTTTCTTTTCTTTTCATTACATGCCATGATCTGTCCTTTTTATTCTTTAGGTCATTAAACAATTGTTGTATTCAATATTATCCTTTTTTAATCCAGGCTTATATGTTTAAATATGATTCAACTCATGGAGGCTTTAAGGGAACCATCAGAGCTTTGGATGAGTCCACCTTGGAAATTAATGGCAAGCAAATACGGGTTGTAAGCAAAAGGTATTATTCGGGAGAGTTTGTTCTGGAATGATTGATTGGAATTAGAACTAGCTTCTCTACGATGTGTTGTTCTCATGGCATAAAATTTACAAATTACAACATAAAATGCTTTTCTTTGATTTCATTAAATTATTGCTATTAACTATCTCAACTTGGGATAACATATAAATAATATCCACCAGGAACCCTGCAGATATCCCTTGGGGTGATTATGGGGCTGACATTGTTGTTGAGTCATCTGGTGTTTTCACAACATTAGCTAAGGCCTCAGCACATATGGAGGTTAGTTATCTTAGTTCCTGTCAGCACATAGCACAAGTGCATGCTCTTGTCAAAATGCTGCAAATTGAACTTCCATGAATGTTGTTTTGCAGGGTGGTGCCAAGAAGGTTGTAATTTCAGCTCCTTCAGCTGATGCACCTATGTTTGTGGTGGGAGTAAATGAGAAGACCTACAAGCCAAGCATGGACATAGTTTCTAATGCTAGTTGCACTACCAATTGTCTTGCTCCTCTTGCCAAGGTCTAATTGCATTCTCAGATTTTAAGCATATTAATCTCATCATTAGAAAGGGCATTTAAACTAAAATCTGAAAGGGCATTTAAATTAAATCTGTTCTTGCATTGTTCTCTATTAAGGGCTACTGTTCACTTCGTAGGACTTAAACATGGGGAATTGCGTTTAATTTGTAAGATTTTGCCTTTGTATGTTTGAGTTCACGGCGGATGACAATTCCTTCTGCTTGGATTTGACAGTATTGATTAATCTGGCCATTTTTCCCCAGAAGCATCTGGTTTGCCTTTTTTTTTAAGCATTTTTCCTTAGTTTTTGTGATAACATGTTGCAGGTGGTTCATGAGGAATTTGGTATTGTTGAGGGTTTAATGACAACTGTCCATGCAACTACCGGTATACAGTCATTATGTGCCCCTAATTCTTTTTCATTGCACGTGATATTGCATTGTTATGACAATGTTGTAGTTTTTAATATCCAGCAACACAAAAGACTGTCGATGGCCCTTCAATGAAGGATTGGCGAGGGGGTAGAGGAGCTGGCCAAAATATCATCCCTAGTTCAACTGGTGCTGCAAAGGTATGAGAGGGAAATTGCCGGATTTATAAATCCAGCACGGTTTCTGAGATCCAGAACTATGGTTGTAATTAAAATTAAATTATGATTTCTGTGTTTTTCTTATAGGCTGTTGGAAAAGTACTTCCTGAACTCAATGGAAAGCTTACTGGAATGGCATTCCGTGTCCCTACACCCAATGTTTCTGTTGTGGATTTAACTTGTCGACTTCAGAAGAGTGCCTCCTATGAAGATGTCAAAGCAGTCATAAAGTGAGTTTTCTAACTTTTGGCTTAAGTATCCTTTTTATTCCTTCCTTTCTCTTCATTCATTCTTTTGTTTTGTTTTTTGTTTTCTATTTATTCTTTCATTTGCCTTATTACTTGATTGTATTTCACATTCACTGAAATTCTACATTGATTTTTAAATGAAGGTATGCTGCAGAGGGGCCACTTAAAGGCATTCTTGGATACACAGATGAAGATGTTGTCTCTAATGATTTTGTTGGTGATTCAAGGTATTCTCCTTTCTCTCTCTAATGTACACATCCATCCGCATATGCCTTTTGCTGTGATGTGATATATTGTCTAATTCATATGAGGTGTGGAGGCTGCCACCTTTTTGTGTATAATTTAGCCAGTAAAAGTCCTAGTGTTTTTGACTGTGCTCTGTCTTATAGAAAGTGTTCACTTTTTTTGTACAATTGAGAAGTAATGCTTGCTGGTATACCCTAATGTTCAATTGGTTTATCTAGTATTGCTGTATTTTTTAAGGCTTCCAAGTTTGCTGCTTCATTTAGATTTGGCGATCGGTGAATTATAGATTCTAATGTATGTGCTTTTTCCTATTTCTTGATTGATGGCATTTAAGGTTCTAATGGGCTTTTTTATTCCAGGTCGAGCATTTTTGATGCCAAAGCTGGGATAGCGTTAAGTGCTTCTTTCATGAAGTTTGTCGCATGGTATGACAATGAATGGGGTTACAGGTATGTTTTAAGCAAGCTCTCTCTCTCTCTGAGACTCACCCACTCGTGCACAGGCACACACCCAGCATTTTCATGACTTACTCCTGTGCACACACGTATTGCCCTGCTGCACGTGCAGACACAAACAAACACCATAGTGGAGTATATAATTGAGTGATGGTTCTATATTTTCTAACACGAAATACATACCATCCTGTCTGATGGTTTTCCTGAAATTCTGTTACAGCAACCGAGTACTTGACCTAATTGAGCACATTGTGCTGGTTGGAGCAAATCGCAACTAAATATTTGGAGGCACACTATTGCTACTGAGGGACGCTGCAATTTTAGCGTGCTGGAAGTTTGTTTCAGAGGGTAGGCATAAATTTGATAGTACCCGAAAGTTTTTTGTTTGGATTGCTTGTCTGATGCAAGGGTTGGGCATCCCATAATGCGATTATGAAATAATAAAAATTCAAGTTTGTTTGAGCACCTTAAAGACTCCTTTGTGGCGAAAGTAGGAACATTATTTTTTATAAAAAATCATTGTTGGTCATTATCTTATATTTAAAAATCTATATATGATCTGGTTTTATGTTCATTTATTTGTTATGGTGATAGCTTTAGTTGCGGAGAATAAGAATACATGTAAGTCCCAACTTTTAAGTATGGGATATACAAGATTAGACTGTTGGATGATAATATGATAGTGACAAAATCAGATGTTTGATGATGGGAACTGAAATTAGATAAAAGGGTCAATGTGAAGTTGTCAATGCAAATAGTGTTGAAGATGATTCAGCATAAAATTGCCATTCATCAATAATAACTTACCAAATTTAATAAGTTTTGGTTAGAGATATTAATTTTATCCGATATGAAATTCAATTTTTATGAGGATGAATATTATATTATATGGTTGGAAATAAATATAATTTAAAATTATTTTTAGTTATCAAGATGGAGTATTCATACCTTATATATATTTTTATATATTTAATATATAACTTTTTTATAATAGTATAAATTATTATTTAAAATTAATTAAAATTAATATATTTTTATTAAAATATATATGCTAATATATATTTATAAAAAATTTACTTAAATATACAAAAAAAATAAAAAAATAAAATTTAGTTTTTATTTTTTTTAACAGGCTATGGGTTTAGTTTCTATACCATTAAATAATAAAAATACATTTAAATTTAAAATACCTATTAAATATAAATATAATATAAAAATCCCAAAATAAAGATGTTAAAAGCTCTACTTTCTCCCTATTCTAACATCCCTTTAGCTGATATTATAAATTGGGCTGTACTCAGATTAGTTTGGGTTTCAGAGGGAATTGGTTAGGTGGGCAGAAGGGTCAGCTTTGGTTAGGTGGGCAAGAGAATGACTTTGTTACAACTTTGTTCGCCGTGACAACAAGACATCAAATCAAAATAATTCAATGGGTCCTGTTAGATAACGACGCGTGCGTGAACCTCATTCTCTCAATTCTATAAAAAAAAGGAATCTTATTCGATAAATTAAAAAATATTTAGTTTATTCAAATTAACTATTATATATTTAATTAAGAATTAATCCAACTATTAAATTCTAAATTCAACGGCTGATTGTAATAACTTACCGTGGATTGCAAAATCGGCTTACGGAAAACAGGATTCATTTGTTGTTTCTTGGAAAAAGATTAAAAAAGACTTTTTGTATGACGTTTTGTATCTGCGAGTGTTGAAGAGGTGATTGTAGGGACGATTGCCCCTAGCATTTCCCTGAAGAAAAAACAAAGTGTAATTTGAAGTGGCGACTCACTTTTTCTCTGCAAAAGCAATTTGAACTCCACCCGTTGAAAGCAAGCAAGACAAGAACAAGACAAGTCTTACGATGAGGAAGCGGAGCAAATCGAGGACCCAGGTAGCCAAGTCTGACGATGAAGGATCGGGGGAAGTGGAGGTAATTTCAATTTTATGAAGCTTAAATTGAACTTTTTTTTTCTCCTTTTGTTCAAAACTAATTGCTTTTTTCTCGTTGTAGAAGTTAGAGACAAGGTAGTTTTTTAATCCTATAGTTTTTAATTTTAAATTCCCAGTGGTTTGTCTCTGGTTGAGAATTGAGAAATTAAAGACAAAGTGTTTCACAGGCAAGGGCAGATAATCCCAAACTCAAATCTGGGGAGTTAGATCTATCTGAAGCTTCAGAGAATATTGATGCGGATGACTTCATTGCAAAATTTAAGAAGCAACTGCGGTTGCAGCGTTTGGAGGCAATACCGCGGAATAAACCCAAACACGAATCTGCGGAGGGAGATCTATCTGAAGAGGGGGTGGATCGTGGTGTTCAAATTTGTTCTGGAATCATTCCTTCAAAATCTGAAGCTTCAGTTAAGATTGGGGAGGAAAAAGTGTATCATCATGGAGATAAATCTTGTAGTAGCTCGTCTGATCCCAGCATCTTTAGAACTCCTTTTCCTGGATTAGAATTCCAGGAGCCTCAGTTGGCTTCTATTGGCCCTTATAACAAGTCCAAAAACCTTCCACTTGAAAATTACAAGTACTCCTTTCTTGACAAATTTATGTCTCGGACAAGAAATCAAGGCAAAGATTTATGCTTCTTTGTCCGACATATGATGACACTGGAATGGCGTGCAAGAAGATGCTACGCCGAGGATATGCCAATGTCCAGTCCCGAATTCGTTGAAATGCTGTTAGTTGACGGATGTTTCATTATAGAGGTCCTGCGCCATTTTGGTAGGAGTGAAGAATCTGATCATGGGGTTTTCCCCATTGAACCATGGAGGATACCCATTTTAGTTCAAGACCTGCTTATGCTAGAGAACCAAATTCCTTTCTTTGTTTTGGGAGAGTTGTTTGATTTATCCGAGAGCGAAGGGACAGCAACAGTTTCTTTACCGACTATGGCCTTGAAGTTTTTTGATCTAGCTTTCCCTCGATCCATGGATTTCAGTTACAAGACCAACCATTTGGAAGCGGACCATTTGCTTGAGTTGTTTCTCCAGTCTATCCGCCCATCAATCTCAAAGAGAGTCCAACTTGAACAACAATGTTATCCTCCGCCTCCAGTTCACTTAATAAAAAGTGTAATGGCACTCCGAACATCAGGTATAGAGTTGAGGACAAGAAGAGCTGATAGGTTCACAGATGTCAATTTCAAGAACGGAGCGCTTACAATCCCACCTGTAACCATCAATGACCTCTTTATCACCATCCTTAACAACTGTGTGGCCTTCGAGCAGCGTTCTAAGAGAAACTCCAAAGATTTGACTGCTTATGTCTCTTTCATGTGTAGTCTCATTAGACAACCTAAAGATGTAGAGTTGCTTTGTTCAAACGGAATTATCTCAAGATTTTCCCACAATGATAAAAAGGTGGCAGATTCTTTCCATTCGCTTTGGTTAAATGTTTGTGATGTCGACACTCAAGATTCGTATCTTTCCAAGACATTGATGGAAACAGAACGCTACTATACCAGTGAAGTAAATGGAAGAACACGGTGTTTGTGGCGCCATTTTCTGAGATATTGGAGGATTATTTTATTCTGCATCACAAACTTTATGTTTGGTTTCAACCTATTAAGATCGGTTATTAAGTTGAGAACTCATTTCGTAAAAGTAGTTAAATTTCTGGGTGATAATATATGTGTACTGTCACAGGGGCTCATCTGTTTTTTCTTTGATCCTGTTTTTCTTAAGTTTCGGTTGAGACCTAATACTGAGTCGGGCCTTAGCAAGGTTTTTGTTTTCTTTTTCCTCAATCTGATCACTCTTATGATCCTTGTGAGTTCAAAGCCTACCTCCAACTTTGATAAGCTAGATATAGAGGTTGAATGTTCACCCAACAAAAGTGAACAATCAACGAGCGACGGTAGTGGAGAGTCATGTTCTTATGAGATGGCTGCAGTAGACAAAAAGGTAATCAAAATTGATCATAAGGGCAAGGCAATCAACAAAAATGAGGAAAATTATTATTGTGTCCTATACATGAAGAAATACAGTGGATATTTTACTGAGCTAACATGTTGGATGTTGAGCTGTAATCTCACTTTGAGAGCCATATGAACCAAGCTTGCATGTTAATGTAAGTATTTTTTACTTGGAATTTTAATTTTAAAGCCAATAACAATGATCTACTAGAAAATATCTATTTTATTTTGGTTTCTTAATATTGGAGGGAATACCATGATTACATCAGAATTGAGAATTGAATCTTGCTGACACTGTTAAAGATAAGAATATTTGATAAGTTTCTGTTTTAAAACCTTTGTACATCTCTTGTATATTTCAAATCTAGATCAAGACAAGTGCCATGAGGAACTGGAAGCCGAGCTCGATCTTGATGAAATCAATGTAAACATTTTCTTTTTCTTGGATGGATATTTATTCATCATCAATCATCGTTATATGAAATAGTAAACTCTTTTCAGAGTCTTACTAAGCTTGAAATTAAACTTTGTTCTTAATTATATGTACATGTAGTTTTTACCTATTTAGAGAAGTATCCTGTATATAGTTTTCAAAGTTAATTCAGCTGTTGTCTTTTTGCATGAGAATTGAGAAATTGAAGACAATGTTATTCACAGGCAGCTGTAGAAAGATCATACAAGAAATCTGGAGATGTCTGCAAATGGAGGCACAAAAATCCCAAATCATTTTCTACGGAGGAAGATTTTCCTAAAGAGGAGGTGAATCATCACGCCAGAAATGAGGGGGAAATCATGCCTTCAACATCTGAAGCTTCAGTTGTATTAGGGAGAAACAAGTCAATCAACATGGAGATACTGTTGTATATATTACCAAGGATATGTTTTTTAAAAATTTTATTAAGTTAAAACATAGTTTTACAATCATTTATTATGCATGAGTATTGAAAAATAATGTTGTAGAAGTATAGAAAAAATATTAAAATGAAGGATGGAGCAGCTGTTTGAACAACTGACTGCCCTCTCAACAGCTAAGAGAGAGCAGTTAACTGCCCAAGCAACTGCCTCTGAGTAGTTGACATTTTGACAAAATAGATATGGGCAGTTAAGTCGACTGCTCTAACTAAAAAAGTGAGGAATCGACTTTCGAAGAGAAGGCATTCAAATACTTGCATTCTATTTGAGCAAAGAAGCCGACTGCCTTTAAGGGGCAATTCACTGCTTATGCTTATTTTGCCTATATTCTGTTTGGAAAAGTGGTGGACTGCTCTTGAGAGCAATCAACTGCTCTTACTCAAATTATAGTAGGCAATCAACTGCCCAAAAGAGCAGTCAATTGCCCAATAGAATCAAAGTTTCTATTTCTGAAAAAAGCTTAAAGCAGTCGACTACCCTTGTAAAAAAGTCGATTGCTCATCCTGAAAAATAAAAAAATAAATAAATCTGTTGGACATGTTCTTTCATTCAAAATGTTATATTACTTCATCAAAAAGATCCATTCATTGTAAGGATATGAGAGATGTCTTTTGGGGCTTATATACTTCCTAAAACACTAACTTTCAAGGGACTTTCACATCTTTTCAGAATCAAATCAAGTTTTCTTCTCCTTACACTCTTTCTCCTGGTTCATAGTTCAAGGGAGATCAAGGAAGAGTTGAAGTGCAATCAATCCTTATTTGTTGGGCTTGTTATCCTAGAAATAACATTTCTAGTAACCATTTGCAGTTAATGGGGGAACTATTATCCTTAAGAAAGTTTCTTGGAAGTGCTTTCTCACAGTATTTTCAAATTATTCTCCTATTTCATTTCATCTTCAGCAAAGTTGTATGGTTGCCATTCGCATGCACACAACAATTTAAAGAGTTTACGTAGTTTGCATAAGTTGCCGACACTCCATATACAACACTTTAAGGACAATATTTTTCTCCTTGGTAACTTTTGCATTCAAGCCTCACAAACATGAAGTGAAGAAATTAATATGGAAAGCACAAAGGAAAGAAGGAATTACTATGGAAAGCATTAAGGATGCACTTGGTGATCTAAAAAAAATCAATATAGTTTATTCTTAAAGAATAATCATAGTGCATGGTGGAAGACAATGATTGTTTGTCACAAGTTCTTGTTCATAGATTGATTGACATGCAATAAGATTATCTTTCAAGATTGCTCTTCTTCTAATCTTGAACTCTTGTTGGTACATCAAGGCACATATTTATTCATTGCATTACTATAAGTGATAGTAATAAATGATTTATTTTTATATCTATTGTTAATTAAAGGTTTAATTGCATATTAATGATTCAAATTTTGTTTTAAAACATGAATTGAAGTTTTCAACAAGTAGATATATATATTTAATTGTCATTGGTTGAGACCACATTTTCCTATGACCTGATTTTTTACTCAAAGAATCATGTTCACGTAAAATGATGAAAGAAAACGTTGAAAAACAACCTATAAAGATTTTTTTAATGAGAAATCACAACATGTTAATTGGTATGTGAATGTAAGCAAAAGCGATGACAAAATTATCCATTTTTGTTTGAATAAAATTTATTATATATATTGACTAATAAGTTATGTGGTATTATAGATTATTTAAATGAGATATATAATTTTATAATGTTGATTTAATATGATATTATTAAAAGATTATAATAAATTGTGAAATACCATATTATTTGAGTTCAATGCATTTTAGTTGCATGATTATTTTGTTTAGCATAACGTGTGTTCATGAATTTGAATATTATGTATGTTAGAATAATTATAGTGTAAAAGTATGTTACAAGTTACTAGGAGATTTGATATGAACTCATAAGTTTGTCATCTTTTAAAATGATGCATATCTAAACTTCTGAAAATTTTATTTTGTTAAGTTTATATAAAATTACAAATGTTCTAAAATTTACTTTTAGAATAATGATTGTTATAATGTTCAAGTTTGAAAACTAGAGCATTAGACATAAAAAAAATATGAAATCGTTATCAATATTTTTTATTTATGTACGATTGATTCCTTAAGTGAATTTATATTTTTTAAGGTTATTTTAAGCTTAATTAAGAGTTTTTAAAAGAATAAGTTTTGATCTATATCTTCAGAGCTAAGTTCAATAATTTATTGCATATTGATAATGTTAAAGCACCATACAATGCTACAAATTGGTACCAAATTAGTATTATATTATCTTGTCTAAGGCTCAATTCAAATGCTTTTTATTACTTTTTTTTATATTTAAATATTGAAAAAAAAGTATTTAGTTTTTTTAGCAAAAAAGAAATTTCTTTCACTTTAAGAGTATTTGAAGAAACATGTTGTTCTCTTAAAGAGATTGTTTTGTCAGATTTATTAAATATTTTATGAAAATATAATTTATTTATATCTCTTTATTTATTTACAAAACAATCATAAAAAAAATATTAAAAATATAAAAATTACAAAATCAAAGTTCACATCAAAATTTTTTTCTTTTATTATTAATTTTCAATTAGATCAAAATTAAAAAATAAACTAAAAGACAAAATTACAAAATGATATATATAAACAAAAAACAATAAAAACAAACAAAACAGAATAGAAAAATAGAAAAATCAAATCAAAAAGAAAAACGAAACTTCGCACTAGGTCAAACCTAGGGTCGTTGCTTTTTTCACAAACAATGGCTTGCTGTCATTGCTTCTTTCTTCACGAGCTCAAACTAAACCTACCTAGAAGCATCTCCAAACCCAAAAACCAATCCCTTAGCCTAAAACACTATAGCTACCCTTTTATTTTTTGCTGCTTTTTGGTTTCAGTTTTCTTTGTTTGTGGCTTCCCCACGAAGAATGTGGTTGATGGTTTTTTGTTAGGTTTTTGTCTTTTTTTTTTGTTGCTATTTTGGTCAAAATGGGGCTTCAGGTGGTTGTTTGTAATGGTTTGTAAGGTAGTGTGGTGTTTGAGATAGGTGTTGATGTTAGGTTTCATAACGTCTAAGTTTGAAAACCTGCCCATAAAACACAAAAATCATGGAATCATCATCAATTTTTTTTACTTAAGTGTGATTAACCACTTATGTGAATTTATTCTTTTTAAGGCTGTCTTAAGTATAAACCAAGGGTTCCTAAAAAGAAAAAGTTTTGTTTCACATAATTAAAACTAAGATTTGGGAGTTGGTTACATACGGAGAATGTATTAGCATCCCTTTATGCCCAAAATTGGTACCAAGTTAATTATGTGTTATCTCACTTAAGCCTTAATCAAAGATAATTTTTATTATGCAAATAAATCAATTCCATTCCTTTTATTTATTTACAAAACATGATGATACAAAAATTCTGTCAAAATATCAAGCAATCATGTAGCAAATATTAAATCATACAATGCAAAAATTATCATGCTAAAATATTCGTGCAAGAATGTCATGCAAATATATTAATTATCATTCAACAATAACAATCATGTAAATATATAATATCATGCAAATCAAATATAATCACACAAATATATTAGTAATTAATTATAATCATGCAATTATGCACATAATAATTATAAAAACATGCAATTAGATATCATTGAAAATTAATATAATATCATATAATGCAATAAATATAAAATCATGCAAATAAATATATTAATAATCATACAATTATACAAATAAATAAATTAATAATCATGCAAATAGATAAGCAATTAAATATATAATCATGCAATTAGAAATATAAAACATGCAAATAAATATATAATCATGCAACTAACAATACAAAACATGCAACTAAATATATAATGATGCAGTTAACAATATAAAATGCAACTAAATATATAATTAAGCAATTAACAATATAAAATATGCAATTAAATATATAATCATGCAATCACACAAATAAATAAATTGATAATCATGCAAATAAATTAATAGTTATGCAAATATATTATAAATCACACAAATATATTAATCATGCAAATAAAATATTAACCAAATAAATTATCATGCAAATATAATATTTGTCATGTAAATTCATACAAAAATGAATACCATGTAATAAATATAAAAATAAGAGAAGCAATTAAATATTATAAAAGTTATGAAAAAAAAAAAAAAAGGAAGCAAGCATTACCTTAATGGATCACTGGTTCCAACAATTTTTTACCTTTCAAAAATTGATACTTCATACTATAAATCTTAGCATTTCTTCTAAAAACTCGAATTGGATCTTCTTGCAAAATTTTTTTTTTTAATTGCTTATTCCTTGTTAATTCAAAACTTTGCCCAAATTTTCTCTATTTTCAATGACTTCTGTTTGATTTTGAAGTCAATTGCTATGAGGCCCCCCATTTTGATCTTAGATTCAAGATTCTTATATAGGGATTTAATTCCTTTTGATTTTGAAGAAATTAATTCAATCGAATCTAGGATTTCTCTTCAAATTTTATTTTTGTGCAATCTTCTATTTTTCAATAGCTTGAGCCCTAAGTCTTTCCAAAATTATTCAACCATTAAAATTGAAATCTGAGATAGAATCCAATAGCTCAATTGAATCCAAGATTTTTCATGCAAAATCTCACATTTTTTTCTTTTTTTCTTTTTTAGTTTTTTTTATTTTTTTTACTGATTGACTTAAAAAATAAAAAATTAAATTAAAAAATTAAAATATAAATAAAATTTAGCGCTTAATCTTTAGGTCCAAAATTTACTTTTTTGATTAAACCTAATTACACAATCAAAATAAAAAATCAAAGCCCAATGAATTTCAAAAAATCCTCAAACAAAATAAGGTGTCAACATTAGGTTGTGGCAAAAGATGAATGGAGTTAGGTTTAAGGTTGGTTTGTGTGGTGAATAATTGGTGAGGTAAGGGTTCGTTGGCTATGTGTAAAGGCAATGGTGTGCACGATGAAGGGTTTTTAGCTTTTCGATTAATGATGGGTTAGGATGAAAGCGATGAAAACAATAAGGGTCTTGATGATGGATGATATAGAGGGCATTGGTTTTTTGGGTCGTTTGGTTATTGGTCGAGAGAAGCTTTCTCTATTTCTTTTTTTTTTATTCCTTCCCTTTTGAATTCCTTATGAGATTTTGTTAACAAAACCCTGAATACCTACTTTCACACATTTGTGAGAATTCAATTTAGGTTTGAAAAGTAATTGAAATTTTTGGATTGTTATTG